GGACTGAGAACTGTTCCAAGTGGCAGACGTGACACGTGGGGAGGGATCGCTCCGTCCCGGAGGTGGTGGGAGATTGGAGCGGGGACAGGACAGAATGGACTTGGCAGGACTGACCATGGATGACAAGGAAGAGTTATTGTTTTATGAGGAGTGAATAATCACGAAATCTGAAGACAAATAATGCTTTGTTTTGGAGGAGCTTCCTGGTTCCTGCTGTTCCTGAGCCGGCGGAGCTTTGGGTGCCGAGGTCTCACCCAGGTGAGGGTGGGGAAGGGCGAGGGCTGAGCTCCCTCTGCCAACACTGCAGGTGAAAGGACAAGAGGACACAGCCCCAGGATGTGCCAGGAGAGGTTCAGGTTGGATATTAGAGGGAATTTCCTCATGGAAAAGGGTGCTCAGGCATTGGCAGGGGCTGCCCAGGGAGGTTTGGAGTCCCCACCCCTGGAGGTGTCCAAGGAAGGACTGGACGTGGCCCTCAGTGCTCTGGGCTGGGGAGCAAGGTGGGGAGGGGGCACAGGGGGGACTCCGTGGTCATGGAGATCTTTTCCAGCCTCAGTGATCCTGGGATTCTGTGGCAGTTGGACAGGTGGGACCATTCACCTTCAGAGCACCGTCGGTGCACCACGATGGATCTGCAAACACAGAGGATTCATGGATGTCACTAAACCAACAGGTTCTTGGTGTCCCTGGAGCCAAATGACCCAGCTTGGCTCCCATCCCTGTCGCTTCTCCCTCAACTGCAGCCACATCCAGGCTTTTTGCTGGGAATAGTCTCCACCCTGGGCCATCCTTGGACCAGTTCTAGGTGGTGTTTGAAGGGCTGCACGTCTGCCACGGGCCAAGGTGTGTGTCAGAGGAGAGGGGGATGTTCAGACCTGTGTCCTGGCTCTGTTACCCACTGCACAGGAAGCACAGGAATCAAATCCATAGCCCAGGGCTCCAACATTTACCTAATCAGTCACCCTATCCCCAGAAAAGGCAGGCTCCAAGGGGATAGGGAATATGGCTCACAGTGGATCTCTGCTGGAATCAAGGAGCTTAATGTTTGTATTAAAATCAACAAAAAAAGATCTGTGTGTCCCTCCAACTCCTTTAAAAAGCTTCTGCAGAGGCTACCAGGGACTAGCACAGCACTTCCCTGCTCCAGTGGCTCCGGGGAGGCTGCAAAGAGGGACAGCAGTGGGAGGAAAGCAGAATTCCTTTGTGAAGACTCACCAGGGAGCTCTGCCCGGACACTCACAGCTGTGGTCTCCAACTGCTCCCTGCTCAGCTCTTGCAGAACATTCTGTTGAGGCTTTCCAAGAGCAGAGATGTTTTGGGAGATGATCATCCAGAGGCAAAGTGGATCCAGTGGGAATCCTAAACACTTCAGTGGGTAGGCTGGGGAGGTACAAACACGACCATGGTGCCTTTTTCCCTGCAGGCATAAAAGAAATGTTAAAAGCAGCTCTCACCCTGCTGAGTTTCAGGTGTGGGTTTCCAACACCAGGGAATGGGATCAGGGAGATGGGAGGGCCCCAAACCCCCAACAAACAACAGGTCCCAGGATGCTGAGAGTGTTGGTTGGGCCTCCTCGTGTAACCACGTGCCCTGGTTGGCATCCAGCAGTGGGTTCCTGGTCCCCCAGGCTCGTGGCACAGCCCAGCAACAGCAAGGCAGAAAGATGCAGCCATTAAAAACCAATTTATCAATCCAGAGCCCTTGGATGTCAACAGGGAGACTGGGATGGGAGCCCTGAGCACCAGAAGTCCCCCAAAACCTGCATCCCCTCAGACCCCTGGAGTGGGCCAGACCTCATCCCCACTGTCTCTCCCCAGACTGCCCCCATGGTTTTACTCTGTATTATCCCACAGATCCTGTGCCTTTTCCAGGATTTCAGGCCCTCATGGAGGGCAACACCACCCCTTAGCACGGGTCTGGTTCCTTGGGGAGCCTAAACCAGCAGCCCCACTGCTGCCCCCCACACATTCCAGCCCCCAGGAGAGAGGCAGGGAGTGGTGCAGGAAGGTTGGGAGCTGTTTTTATTCCCAAGAAAGTGGTATTTCCCTCTGGAGAACATGGAAAAACAACCCAACAGCTACTCATGCTGCACCCAGAGCTGAACCACCCGTGTTCACACATAGCACTGAAGTGATCCAGAGTTCTTCCCGGTTATTTCTTGGGAATCAGCAATGGTGTGTGTCTCCAACATGCCCAAATATATCTGGAAATTCAACAAAGAACTGTGTTTCCTAAGAAAAGTTGTGCTCCCTTCCCTGCTCCCAGCCCAACACACAGTGCTCTGCTCCCCCCAGCTGTCCCTGTCCTGCCCATTCCTTGAAATCATCAACTCTTTTCCCAGGTCAAGAGCCAAGATCCCACATTTCTCAGGATTTAGTAATCACCATGTGATGGTGTCAGGGTTGGGTTGCAGAGACTGCAAAAAAAAAAAAAAGCAACACCTCCAAAATCCATCTTGGCACAAACAATCCCAACAGATCCGGGTCCTTAAACTGAACAAAAGCTCCTTGGGAATGTGGAGACATCCCTGGTGGGTGAGGTGAGGGAGGGCCTGGGCTTAAAAGGGATCATTCCTGGTGCACAGGCAACTGGGATGTGGCCAACAGGAACATTTTCCTGTGCTGGGTTTGGATAGAGGAGCAGAAAAGAGGGAGTAACCACACTCCTGGCTCTGGGAATGTGCTTTTTCTGCCTCCCAGAACCAGGGGCACCCTTTGCTCTCATGCCATGACTTTGAGAACCTGCTGCAAAACCCAGCCAGGAGCGTGGAGGGCAAAGCAGAGCGTGCTGGGGCATTCCAGGGGCAGCTCCAGTGCTGCCCAAGGCCCTTCCATCACCCCAAACCTCCACCTCCAACAGGGAGGAGATAAGAGATTCCCTGCTAATGGCTTTCCACATAAATAGGAGGACCTGCCCCCTCAACCAGTTTACTCAGTGCACTGACCCCCTGGCTGGGGTCGCGGGGAAGCTGTGGGAGGTCCCCAAGTTTTATAAATGAGAGGCTTTCCCTGCCCAGACAGGGCCCAGGAGGCACCCAGGGGTTGGAGACACTGATGGATGGTGCCAAGGAGGTTTGTTGGAGGGGAGCAGCGCCGGGGAGGGATTTACCAAGAGATTTATCAGCTCAGGTGGATTAAGGGGGATTTGTCAGTTGTCTGCTCTCGGCCTCCACCCCCAAAAAATAACCCTCAAACAATGGCCAAGGGCTGAAAAACGTTTAGGATGGGGGCAGGAGACAAAATTACAGTTGTTTCCATGAGGTTTGGTGAGTTGAGGCTCAAATGTGGGGTCCAGGCACCCCAATAAGGGCTGATGGGGGTGAGGAGTGGGTGAGGCAGAGGTGATCTCCAGCAGCAGCTTTTCCATCCCCTCCACAGCACATCCCACCAGCTCCCTGAGCTCCCTCAGGGCTCACGTTGGAGCCCCTGGCAGGGACCCCCCGAGGTCTCAGGGGCTGCAAAGACACGTCCCAGCCCCCCCCAGGGGTGAAATCACGACCCAAAACAGAGAAGAGGAAGGCTGGGACTTACCAGACACGGGCCACACCTTCCCAAAGCATCCTTTGGATGAGCTGCTCCCTGGAGATTCCAGGTGTCTGGCTGCACACTCAGCTTGCCAGGAGAAAGCAGATTTGGGCACTGACCCCCTGTAAACACAACATCTCTCTTTTCTTTCCCCCAAGAAAAGCCAAGGGAAGGGTCTAGAAGGGGAAAATGGAGCAGACAAGCAGCTTCCTGAGATCTCATTTGGAGCCAACCAGGGGGCTCCGCTTCATTTATTTCAAGACACTTCATCCCGAAATAAATTCATTCACTGCAGCAAATTGGGCTGTTTTCCTGTTTATTTTTTTAATTGTTCCACGCTGTCCTCGAGTTTCTCAGCAGAACTGGCTTCCAACCCTTAAACTGGGAAATGTTCCTCTTGCAAATGGAAAATACAAACATTTCCAGTGTGGCCACGCAGGGTTGTTTTTTTTTTTCCTCCCTTGCTCTCTAAAATCTTTCTGCACTGAGAAATCCATCTGCAATTTGGCTGCAAAAAAATGGGTTCAAACTGGCCTTGCTGATAACAAACTCCTGAAGCTCAAGGTGCCTGCTCCAAGATTTCCAGATCACCTCCTTCTAGAGCCTGTGGCAAACACCCTGATTGTAGACTGCACCACCACTCTCACCAACAGGTTTTTTCCCTCTCCTTTTACTTTGGACTCAGGGGGCCAAATGAACACCACTCTGTTCATGCCCCAGGGTGCTGGGTTATACATTTGGGTTTTGTGGGTTAAAACCAACTGTTTGTCTGTATAATCGTATTTATTGTATTATTTTATGAAATTGTTATTCTGATTTATAATCTCTCCTTTGAGTTGGGTTCATTTCCCCTGCTGGTTCACCTTTAAACCACCTCACTTTTCCCCCTCATGGAACATCCTGAGCTGGGAGGGACCCACGAGGATCAACAAGTCCAACTGCTGGCCCTGCACAGCCAACGCTCCCACCCCAGGATTCCCCGGGCCACCCCAGCTCTGAGCCAGGCTTCCAGCCCAAACTGGGCCCTGCCTGGGCTCCCTCCCGAGGACCACACTCTGGAGGAAGGCTCAGCTGGTTCCCATCCCCGTCCTGCCCCCGATGAGCTCCAGATGTGGGGTGGGTGTTCCGGGATGCTCCGGGGGGGAGGTGGAGGCAGCTCGAGCTGCTGCTGCTTTTATCTCCTTCCCTTTGTTTATGAAGAGAGGATCAGCCCGTGGCTGCCAACAATTTACTCTGGTGAGGGCACCCCTCCAGAAACACTTTTACTGTGAACAGGGATCCCCTTCCATCAGCTCCAGATGGAGACCCAAAAGGGGCCACTAAATTCTGGGGGAGTTGGAGCCCACCCTGGTGTCTCCCAGTGGGAGCAAGGACAGCACAGCCCCCTCTGCTCAACCAGCTTCCCACAGGTTTCTCCTCCTCGGGCACGGAGGGTCCAGCTGGATCTGGGACACCCCAAGGGCTGTAACATCTCGTGAGTCCCAACTCAAGTGGGATGCAGAGCCCTAAAATCCTCTTGGTGTGAGGGTGGGGAGGCCCTGACACAGGTTGTCCAGAGAAGTCCCATCCCTGGAAGTGTCCAAGGCCAGGTTGGAGCAACCTGGGATGGTGGAAGGTGTCCCTGCCCGTGGCAGGGTGTGGGAAGAGATGAGTTTAAGGTCCCTCCCAGCCCAAACCATGCTGTGATTCCCTGCTTAAAATGAGCTGCAGGAGGCTTTTCCCCATGAACCCACTTCACAGAGCTCAAAAAGGCGCCGCTGTGGCAGCCACGGGGAAGAGGGAGTCAAAATTGGTTATTCCAGAGCAAAACTTCCCCTGCCAGCAGAACCCTGAGGCTGGAGAGGTGCCCTTGGGCAGGGAGCTCACCTGTGCTGTGGTGCTGTCCATGGATGTCCTGCTCCTGGAGAGCTCTGCTGGATTTGGGAGGCCAAAAACTGGATGAAGCTGAAGCCCCATTTCCCAGCAAGATGGAGTTGGTGTTTTCCCTCCCAGGCCTGCTGGTAGAAAACTGGGTTAAGAGCAGCCAGCATCTGCTCAGGGTTATTTATTGCTTTTAGGAGGCGAGTTTTTATTGGGGATTATTTTTGTCTTCTCTTATTTTTGGTGCCTGAGTTATGGAAACATCCTGGATGCACCAGCACCCCCTCGGAGAGGCGTCAAACGTTTGCCAGGCAAAGGCAGCTTTGGCAGGAGCCTCCCTGCTCCATGAGCATCCTGCCAGGCTGGATCACAGAGATCTGTGCCACCAGCCCAGTTTGACACCGACCTGGAGTGCCAGGACGAGGGGGAATGGCTTCCCACTGCCAGAGAGCCGGGTTAAATGGGATATGGGAAGGAATTCTTCCCTGGGAGGGTGGGCAGGCCCTGGCACAGGTTGCCCAGAGAAACTGTGGCTGCTTCATCCCTGGAAGTGTCCAAGGCCAGGTTGGACAGGGCTTGGAGCACCCTCATGGCAGGGACACAGTGACACATCCAGGTCATCTCCCAGTGCCCAAAACACCCTCTGTCCCATCCTCCTCACAGAGCCATTTCCCCTTTACTTTATCAATCCAAACACTGAGGATTCCCCCCCCCTAGTTCAGCCCTAATTCCCTTTTCCAGTGCTGCAGCACTGCAGGGAATGAGCTGGGCCAGGAGCTCCCCCTTTCCCAGGAGACCAGGCCAATTTTTTTAAATTTTTTTTTTAATACTCACTCTTATTTACTGTGACTCTGCCAAGAAGGTGCTCGGGGTTTTATGAGCCCCACGCGAGTCCGTCTGCCCAGGGAGTTGATTCAGGGCAGCTCCTTGCACGGGCTGGCACAACCCCAAACCCTTCTGATTCCAGCCTGGCTGTTTGGAAAGGGATTAAGGCAGAAATTAGAGCAGCAAGGAGAGCCTGGTCTAGCAAGGAGAGCCTGGTCTAGCAAGGAGAGCCCGGTCTAGCAGACCCATGGCAGGGTTGTGGCACAAGATGAGCTTTAAGAACCCTTCCAACCCAAACCATTCCAGGATTTTATGATCCTGACTATGTCAAGAACTCCCTGTAGTCAGCAGTGCCTCTGCACCAAACCTGGGAGAAGCTCCCATGGACGCCAGACCCTCAAGGGTCACGTCTTACTGGGGTGTAAAGATTTGGGTAACTCTGAGCAGAACACAGCTCATGGTGTCTCTCCTTTCCCACTATTTCCCCCCTCCCTGGAAAATGTCAAAGAGGGAGCAGTCACAAACAACCCTGTCTTCACACTCTGCTGTTCACAGGGCTGTGGTTTGGGGCTGGTTTGGGTTTTTTTTCTTCCAGGTTGGGAGATGCAGTGATTTTGCAAAATGTGCCACAAGCCCATGGACAGGGAAGTTGTTTTACCCCTTAAAAATTCCTTCAAGGCCAGATTGGACACCCAGTCTAATGGGAGGTGTCCTTGCCCCTGGACAAGGAAGTTGTTTTACCCCTTAAAAATTCTTTCCAGGCCAGGTTGGACACCAGGTCTAGTGGGAGGTGTCCCTGCCCTGGCAGGGGGTGGGACTGGATGAGCTTTAAGGTCCCTTCCAACCCAAATCATTCCACGATTCTGTGCTTCAGTGGCCACATCTCCAGTGGGAATAAAACATCACGAGCTCTGTGGGCTGCAGAGTCCTCCAGGAGGCACCGAATTCCTCCCCCAAAAAACAACATCCCTCTCCCCCCGAGTCCATCAGCTGGCTCCTCTGGTAACACGCTCCCTCACGTGTCATCAGGAAGGAATTTGGGCCCTGTTTGATGATCAGAGAGGGATCAGGATCACAGTTCTCCCACCACAAAGCACGTCAGCAGGTCTTTCCAGCCTCCCTCGCTCTGTGTAGGCCGGCCAAGGACCTGCTCCTTCCCGGGCATCCCCGGCCCCCACTCATCAATCAAAGCATTCCTGGTCTCCTCACAGTGTCCACGAACACTCACAGAGGTTTCTTCTTCAAAAAAAATTTCATCTGGGCAATTGTTCAAAAATGTTACAGTTACCTACTCCTTTTAAGCTCCGATGACGGCCCGCGGAGCCGTAATTTAAGCCAGACCTGCAGACGTCTGGTTTAAGGTTAAAAAGTCCTCCAAGCTGAACTCCAGCCAGCAAAGCCACGAAAAATCAACTTGCCCCGTGTTAATTTTGGGTTCCCCTCGTTAATGAAGCCGTGGAGGAGCCCCCATGGGGGTCTGGCTTTGTGTCATCCCAACTTCACACGCTCGGTGCAAGGATTCATGGAAGCAGATCCCAAGGAGGAGTTAAAATTCCAGAGTCATTAAGGTTGGAAAAGAGCTTTAAAATCTTTGAGTCCAACCATCAAACCCAGCACCACCACCATGGTCACCATTAACCCACATCCACACATTTTTTGGACATTCCCAGGGATGGGGATTCCACCACTGCCCTGGGCAACCTGTTCCAGGGCTTTACAACCCTTGCCATGAAGAGTCCTGCACACAAACCACCCACAGCAGGGGGGGAAATCAGCACTTAAATATTTCAAATGGGAATAAACAAAGATCTTTTCTCCCAGATATTAATTTTGTTAAGGTTAGGGTTGCTTCCTTCTCCCTCACAGACACCCACTGAGGATTCACACTCCCCCAAGTCCCAAAAAGCCCCAAAGTTCACCTGCCCTAAAACCCCTTGGGCTCCCACTGCAGCACCTTCCCCCCAGCAGGGAGGTTTTGGGGCATTAAAATGAATTGTTAACCCTGAAGAGGAAAATCCCCAAGGAAAGGAGGATGTAGAGAGGTCAGGAATGTAGGTAGCTCCAAAACAGGATTAGACATTTCTGAGGATGTCAGGAACAGCTAAATCCCATACAATTAATGATCATCAGCCTGGCTGGGATGGAACCCAAGGGATGCAAGACTCCTGGAAATATTGCTGGAGAGCAGGACAAGAGCAGGAGCAGCATCATTACTGAATATCCCGAGCTGGAGGGGATCCACAAGGATCCTCGAGCCCAACTCCCGGCCCTGCACAGGACAGGAGCATCTCCCCCTCTCTCCACACACAGTGGGAATGTTCTGGTGGGATTCCAGCTCTATCCCAGCTCAGGGGCTTCTGTGGGAGCAGAGAGAAGAGAGGGGAAAGGGCTGGATGGGCTGGGAGAGCCAGGACAGGACAAGTGGTGGAGTCACCAAGCTTGGAATTGTTCCAAAAATAGGCGGATGTGGCACTTCACAAAATAATTTGGGCAAGGGAGTTGTTTGGGCTTGATGATCTTGGAGGTCTTTTGCAGCCTTAAAGGTTCTGTGACTCCCTGTGAAGGAAATACCCACCTTTTGTGGGTATTTGTAGCCCAGTCACCTCAGAACTTCAGAGCAAGGAGCCAAACGTGCCTCCACGCCCGGGCGATTTATTCCAGAGGTTTCATGGGAATTCCCACTGGCTTTTAGCACCAGCTCACAACCACTCAGCCAGGACTCCCTCCTTACCTGTGACAGTTCAGCAGGGAGGGGGGGGACACCCCCAGCACCCAGCAGTGCCATGGAGGGAGCACATCCAGAGCCTCCTTCCAGCAGCTCCCTGATCGCTCCCAGGTGGGTGCCACGGAGCCAGAGCTGGGAGTGATTCCAGGCTGGGAATGGGAGCCAGCATCTCCCTGCAAGCAGATGTCCCAGAGGGGAACATTAGAGCCTTCAGTTACCCAATTAAAAGCATGTTGGAGGGGGATTTGATTGCTTGGTTTGACAGGGAGAGGAAAACCCTCCGGGTCCTGGCAGGGACGAGGATTTACGAGTTGCTTCGGGTCGCTCTGCCTGGTCTTGGTATGTAGCAAAGGAGCAACAAAACCCTCTCAAAAAGCAAGGAGGGATGGTGTCTGCATTCCTGCTGCTTGAATCAGATGTCTTTCCTGGCAGCTCCAGTCCCTCCCAGCTCCAGGGACTCCGGGGAGGGGCAGCAGTGGATGCACTGGAGCAGGTCTGACATCTGGCACCGAGGGCTGCCCATGGGCCACATCCTCCCCCTCAGAGGTGGAAATGATTCCCTGTCACTTGTGAACACCTCCCAGGGATGTGCTGGATGTTCTCTCCCAGTTTGCTGAAGGGCAGGATCCACCTTCTTCCTGCTCCAGAGGCCTGGAATGAACCCTGCTGGGTGCCTGCCCCAGGGATCCCCGGCTCCCTCCCCTTCCTCTCCCTGGAAAAAACATCACCTCAGGTTGGGAAAGGAGGGAAGACAAACCTCCCAGACTTCCTGCAGAGGGTGAACAGCACCCAGGAACACCTCTGGACAGCAGGGATTTGGGATCACCTCTATTTATTGCCAAACCCCAGTGTCTGAGCACCTCCCTTGGCACCCGCTCTCCCTCCTCACCTGCTCCTGGCCAGGAATTCCCTGTGCTCCCACCTTCCCCTTCCCCTCCTGCCTCAATCCAATGTGCCTGGTGTTTCTCTTCAAGGCAACTCTGAAATGAGAGGAGAAAAGTTATAAGTTATTTCAAAGCTCTCTGCTTCAAAAAAAACATCCAACCCAAATTTAGGCACCGCGAAGCCATAAACGTTCCTTTTTATTGCACACACAAAATAACCCTCTGCAATATGATTCCTCTCAATTTATGGTTCTCCCAGAGCCATTAATTCAGCCCAGGTCTTTTCTTCTTCTTCTTTTTTTTTTTTTTATTCTTTTATTCTTCCCCCCCCTCCCAACTTGAAGTCAAATAATTCATAAATACTTCGCCCTGGATTGTGCTTTATGAGCATTATAATGATCACTTGACTGTGGAAATGCCTGTGAAGTTATTAAGGGAGTTTTAATACACCACAGACTCCCCAGAGGGGCAGAGCAACTCCATCACACTCTGGAGGGAAGAGCTCTCTTGTGAGGCTCTTTATTTAGCCAAACAATCAGGATTTTACAGCCCAGATATCTCTGAATCGAGTCAATCACAACCTCCGGGGTGGGTTTTGGTTTGTTGTGCTCCAGCATCCTCCTGGAGGGAGATGTGACTTAGATCCACAAGTCTCCATATCATTTTCAGACCCAAACCCAGAAAAAAAAAAAGACTAAAAAAATAAAAAAAAAAGTTCAGAGGAGCATCAGCAAAACCATTGGGTGGTTGGGCTTGATGGTCTCGGGGATCTTTTCCAACCTTAACAGCTGGACTTGATGATTTTAGAGGTCTTTTCCAACCTGATTTTATGCTAAAACATGAATAAGAGCAGGTCACTGACCTCCTTGGAGTCTCCAGGTAGGAAGGAGGCATGGAAAAGTTGGATTTCCCTGGGCAGACACCGTTTTTTCTGTCATCCTTGCTGTTGAAAGTCAGAAATTCAGTCCCGGGGGTGAAAGTCAGAGCTGGAAACCTTTGGTTGATTATAGGGAAAGAGGAAACAATAATTAAATTACAAATAGGAACTCACAGAATTAAACAGATTTTCTGGGATGGCTGGGCCACACTCAGGGTATCCCATAAAAAAGGGGCTTTGGATCTGGAATCTCTGGGTTCTGCATTTCTCCTCCTCATTTTCTTGTGCAAACCAACCAACAAACCAACCAAGGCCCACGAACTGCGGAGCCAAACATCAGTGGGAGCACCTTTGGATCCCCTGAGAGGTGCTGTGGGATGACACCCCCCTCTCTGCAGCCCCCAACCCCCCCTGTGACCTCCCCCAGGACCACCCAGGACGAGCTGCAAGAGGAGCCCACGAGTCCTCCCTGCTGCTGAACCTCCTCTGCTCCCCAGGAAATCCGTGGTTTTCCCCTTGTAAAGAACTCCTCAGGCAACTGCCTCCGTATCTCCAAGGTGTCTTCGAGCCACAGAGGTGCAAATATTTATCCATACTTGGAATTGCAGAGTGAAGCCTGACTAAGTGTTCCCAGACACTCGAGCTGTTGTTGTTTTAAGACCCGGGCCCTTGGACACCTGGCTGGAATTAATCAGCAGATGGGAGCAGGGAGGCAGAGCAGAGCCCTCATTAACCCTTCACACATCAATGTCAAGGTCACAGGGGGGTTCAGCCTGGATCTGTCAACAGCCTGGGAATCCCAAAGCAAGGAATGTCCTTCCCGGAGCGGGGCATGAACTGGAAGCAGGATTTATCACGCTGCTGTCACCACCGAGCTGAGGCTCTGCCTTGGGAATAGCAGCAGGAGTAAATGTTTATGACTAGATAATAAAACACCAGAGCAAACCCACCTTCTGCCCAGGCTCTGCCTTAATCCAGGAGCTGAAGCATCTCCTGAAGGGAAAGGATCCACTTTGCACCGGGTGGCTTCGAGTGGAAAGTTTGGATTATTTGAGTAGTGGGTTATTAGGGAGAATTTCTTGGTTGGGTTGGATATCGGGAAAATTTCTTCATTGACAGGGTTGTCCAGCCTGGCAAAGGCTGTCCAGGGCAGTGGGGAAGTGTCAACCCTGGAAGTGTCCAATAAATGTGAGGATGTGGCATCTGGGGCCGTGGATCGAGCTCCAGTGGCATCACATCTTCCACCCCTCCCACCCTCTGAGCAGCTGCCCCAACCATCAGCTGCTGCCTCCCTCTCCAGCCAGGAGCTGGGAATGGAACAGAGACCCCAGGAGCTGAACACACCCCAGGGAAATGGAAAAACACAGCCAGGAACTTCCAAATTCTGCCTCCTGCAAAGCCGGTCCCAGGCAGGCAGGAGGGTGTGGACGCAGCCAAGCACAGGGATGATTTTCACCACAGCGACCTGGACACCAAACAACACCAAACAATCCCCTCCCCGAGCCCCCAGGGCAGCACAAACACCCCACAAAAGCTCCTTGCCCGGCTCTGTTGACGTCTCTCTGGGGTGTTTTTCACACCCAGGGAAGTCAAACAGGCGATGGGGGAGGGAGGATTTGCTGCCGCCCACCAAGGGGGGGAAGTTTTGCTCTTGAGGAGATATAAACAAGCCCTGGAGCAGGTCAGGCCCCCCGGTGGCCTCTTATCACGGCTCCTTTCTTTTGGCATAAACACCAGCCCCAGGTCAGGGCCCATAATTTGTCCCAGCTGCTTTTCCAAGGGTTGATCTAAAGGCTTCAAACCTGAAGTGTGGGGGGGTGAAATAATCCCCACCCGCTGCTTTGTCTCTCTCTTCGGGGTCAATTTTTGATCCCAAAACTTCTTCCCCTGGTACAGGGGTTGGGGAATGGTTCCCTCCAGGAGGTTGGAGGTGGTTCCTCCATGGGAGGTGGCCGTGGCTCTCCTCCTCCTCCTCCTCCTCCT